ACAACACGCCCATTGATTTCTGAAATTTCACATGTTTGGAGGCCCATAGAAGTCAATGACAGTGCATCAAATTGCATATAATACACACATTTTAGTGCAGTTTGATACTGGTCAATGGCTGTTGATCACAACCACTCTAAATTCAAAAATGCATTAAAACATGTCAAAATGCATACCAACACACAAAGGAAATGCATGTGGTCACATAATAATGGACCTATCTATTGCTACAAGAAAAGTTACCTCCACACACATAGATCTATATGGGCATTTAAAGTGTTCAATAAAAGCTGCTGAAAGCTTTAAAATAGCTTGCTGTACAGAGTGATCTTATACAAACTGCAGCCATAGGTTCAAGGCCTTCTGAACCAGTGTGCCATTGGTGAGCACATTACTCACCACAAACAGAGCTCCTCTGACAGACAAATAATCCAATGGCCCCACATGGTGAGATTTAACATCCTGAGCCAGGGCAGCTGCGCTGGGTCAGCCCCTAATTAGGACATTAACAGGCGGCAGGAAAGAAGGTGTGTAGGATAAACATGGATGGTGTGGCTGCCTGGACAAGATCAGGTTTATATAGCTGTTTTGTAGTGAAGGGAAGATTTTTTTGTCACTTCCTGTGTAGTCACCGAGAAAGGTAGGGAGCAAAATCCAGGGGCACAGGCAGTCATATAAGTTGTTTTTTTTTTTAACTGCTTTCAGTCTGCTGGTGTATCCAGTGTATGGCATATATGGCACATGTCCTGGGCTCCACTTGAACAGGGGGGTGCTACTCCGTGGGTCAGAAAACGTTTGCCAACCCAATGAGCCAACTCTCTCCCAACCCTCTCCCAACCCCCTCCCACACACATCTCCTGCCTAGCTCTTAGCAACCAGGAATGCTCTGACTGGTATCCTGACCAGCTTCTGCAAACCAGTGATGTCAATGGTTGCCAGGAGCTGGGCAAGACACTGGCCAGAGTGTTCCTGGTTGCTAAGAGCTTGGCAGGGAGATGTGTAAAGGCCATACACATCTTAGCAACCAGAGCAAGCAGGGAGATGTGTATGCAGGCTGAACACTGTGAATGATGTCCTCCCCAGCTCCTGGCAACCAGTGATGTCACTGGTTCCAAGGAGCTGTGTCTGATGCCATGGGCGCAGTTTTTTGTACCTATGCCTCTGTTCCAGTTGGCATAATGCACAAATGTGTCAGCATGGCAGGTGGGCTCTGAGGTCAGCTCTACACATATATGCATCTAGCTGTTGGAAATACAATAGCATACACTGATTTGTATTGCTGACATTCAACAGCATACACTAATTTGTATTACTGACATTCAGAGATGTAATATTATCTTTTGAGCTGTAGATGGCAGTATACTGCAATGTTAGTCTCATCTATGGTATATAGGAAGTTTTATCTGTTATGTTTCCTGCACGATGCTGTATACTGATGTAATGTCCTTATAGGCAAGTAAAACTTAATTCAGCATTCCTCATGATCTCAGTGCTTCATCTAAACATATAACCAACACTAGCCAGCCCACTATTCAGTACTGAGAGTGCACTCACTCATGCACTCCAAGCACAGCGACCAAGCTTTCACCAACAACTCCGAGTAAGGCTGGGTTCACACCATTTTCTGGAAAGGATCTGAAACAAATCTGGAACATAGTGCATTGTGTTTTTGCCGCGGTTTACCACGATTTTACCGCAATTTATTTATTTCTTAGCTTAAAATGGTTCCATGCATTTTTGATGCGTTTGTGATGTGTTTTGATGTGTTCCAGTGCACTCCAGACCAGACAAAATAGGACAAGCAGTATTTTTCTGGTCTGGTCTGGAACGGACTGCGCTGGTGGGATCAGAGGCCAGAAATAGCATAGGGATACATTAGGATGCACTTTGGGTCTGGATGTGGTGTGAATGGGCCCTCATTGTTTACAGGAGTCAGTGGGACAGGCTCTTGATCATGTGACCAATCAGGGCAATCACATGATATGGAAGGCAGCCCCCCGTCGTTCAGAACCCCTTAAGGATTTGGCGGGAGCCGCCATCAGAGGGTTAAAGAGTGTGGAAGGAGGAAAATCCCTGTAAGGCTTTTGATGTTGTCTGTGTTCCATTAGGGCAGGAGTGGGCAAACTCCGGTCCTCCAGCTGTTGTGGAACTACAAGTCCCATTAGACATTGCAAGACTCTGACAGCCACAGGCATGACTCTCATAGGCAGAGATATGATGGGGATTTGTAGTTTCATCACAGCTGGAGTGTCGAGGTTGGCTTCCTCTGGCATACATAGATTTACATGATCACTTATCAATCCATTCCACTTCGGGGGTAATTGTGGCTGGAACAGAGGCTCCCTTGAAGGTATGATACCTGGGGGGGCAGAGGGGACCAATTTGTGGGGGTAATTACCCTTTAAGTACCTACAGATATATTATACAGTTCAGTGCATGATTCAGGTCCCCTGCCAAAATTCCCAGCTCTGCTCCTGCACCTGTCCTGTGAATTTTGGGTGTACCAGCTTCTACATAATAAAACAAAGAAGAAAAATCCAGCAGGGATGATGGGAGTCTCTTATACTGGGCTCAGCAAGGGTCCAGATCTAGGAACTCACCAATACAGTCCACAGAAGAAACTGATTTAAAGTGTATGTACACCTTAACAATAAACTTATCTTTTTTACTCCCTTTTGATCTGTTAAATACAACATTAAAAGGGTGTTGTTATATCTGTTTAATAGGTGCAAATAAAACCTGTTGATCTCACCAGAAATTTTGAGAATGCCTGAACCCACATGAGCTCCTCCCACTTCCTGTTGTGACTCTTGAACAGGAAGCAAAGGGAAATCTCCCCAATAGACCATGGATGGCAAAAAAAAAAAGCTGACAGGGGTTATTACCCTCCGAAATAAAAGTTCTGGCTACTTTAAATAGTGCTGGCTGAGAAACTGTAGTGTAGGAAACCTTTTTTCCATGTTGTACCAGAGGAAACAATACCAGGTGGGACTTTTCCCAAAGGGCTTTGTGAAGCTTTTTAAGAGAGATCAGAGTGCAGGGATCGTTGCTGCAAGCCGGAGATACCATAGGACAAGAACAGCAGTCACATCGTTATCAGGTGTCAGAATCTCCTATTTTAAAGGAAACCCTTTCCTCGCCCTGTTTTGTTCCATACTGTTCATCCTACGGCGCAGCGATATCCAGCAGATAGAAGTAATCTGTCATTTACCTGCAAAAATGACAGCGGCACGCCAAAATATTACAAAGCAGCATTTAAAAGGAAACTCAACACCATGATTTTCTAAAGAATATATTACATTAAATTAAATAGAGAGAGAGAGAATATACATGGAGAATTTGGCTGAATTATTTTCATAGATATGTTTTGCTACATCGCCTTTGTTGTCACTAAAAAAATGGTTTGTTATATAATCATTTTATTCCAGTGAGTAGAATATGAAAACAATTTATATAATTTCATATGAAACAGGATGTGAGATCCTTTATTCATAAAATCCAGACTAGAATTCAATGTTAAAAGAAAATAAAAATGATTTCTTGTAAAATGTGTTTCTTTATTCTAGCAGCAAGGCTGAGCTTTCATACAGCACTGTATATGTATAACACTGAATAAATAGGAATTGCTTTATTAGTGCTCTAGGTAAATATAGGTCCACCTTCTTCCATGATGTTATACAAAGTAATGCAGGCCCTACATGCCAAGATTTAGATTTATTGTTCTGAGTTTGACTGCAAATAATTTTAATCAGCCATCCGTATAAATCAACTGATTTTCCATGCCTGCAGTTTAATAGAATTAAAGAATAATTGTTCTGAACCGGTCATTCCCTACATTGTTTTTTTTAAGCAATTTGACAAAATTAGTCCTGTATGGTCGGATTGGTCCTGTACATGTGTGGGCACCATTAGTCATGTGAATGAAAGTGAGTGATGCCGATGATTTAAATACATTACAAGTACGTGTTGTAATATTACAATTTTGCAAACTATAAAATTCCAAGGACAATCCCTTGAGGTGGTTTTTGCTGCTGTATAAACCAGTGAAAGGTATTTTGTAGAGTAAATGATTCTCAGGAAAACACAAAGACTATGCAACAGAATATATGTTCAAACACATACCATGTGTTGGGGGGGGATATCTAATGCAAGGAGCAATTGTACATTAAGGTGTATGTAAACCTAATGACTGAAATCTCATATGACTGTTAAAGTGTATCTCTAGGTAAAACCTTATTTTGTTATTTTTTATATGGAGAAGGGGGGGGGGGGTTTATTGATGGGTGTGCGGTGGCTGGGAATATTCACTCAACTGTTTGTACTGGTGACTAGGAGTGAGTCTTTTTTAATCAAATATAAGCATGTAGCCATATACACCGATCAGCCATAACATTATGACCACTGAGAGGAGAAGTAATTAACATTGATTATCTCATTACAATGGCACCTGTAAGTGGGTGGGTAATATTAGGCAGAAAGTGAACATTTTGTCCCTGAAGTTGATGTGTTGGAAGCCTAAAAAAAAGGTCATAAGTGACTTTTACAAGGGCCAAATTGTGATGGCTAGACGGCTGGTTCAGAGCAACTCCAAAACTGCAACTCTTGTGGGATGTTACACATCTGCAGTGGTCAGGACCTACCAAAAGTAGTCCAAGGGAGGAAAACCGGTGAACCAGCGACAGGGTCATGGGCGGCCAAGGCTCACTGATGCATATGAGGAGCAAAGGGTGGCTTCTCATGTAGTCCAATCCAGCAGAAGAGCTACTGTAGCTTAAATTGCTTAAAAAGTTCATGCTGGTTCCAATAGAAAGGTATCTGAATACACAATGCCTCGCAGGTTGTTGCGTATGGGGCTGTGTAGCCGCTGACCAGTCAGGATGCCCATGCTGACCCGTGTCCACCGCCAAAAGCGCCTACAATGAGAATGTGTGTATTATTCTGGACCAGGGAGTAATGGGAGAAGGTGGCCTGGTCTGATGAATAACATTTTCTGTTACATCATGTGGATGACTGGGTGCGAGTGTGTCTATGAGAAGAAGGTGAGACGGGGAAAGCAGTGTGATGCTTTGGGCAATGTTCTGCTGGGAAACCATTCATGTGGATATTACTTTGACATGTACCACCTACCTAAACATTGTTGCTGACCAAGTACACCCCTTCATGGAAACGGAATTCACTGAGGACAGTGGTAGGATAATGCACCCTGTCACACTGCAAAAATGGTTCAAGAATGGTTTGAGGAGCACAACAATGAGTTTGAGGTGTTGGCTTGGCCTCCAAATTCTCCAGATCTCAATCCAATTAAGCATCTGTAGGATCTGCTGGAAAAAGAATGGAAGCCCCACCTTGCATCTTACAGGACTTAAAGGATCTGCTACTGAGAGTTTGGTGCCAGATACCACAACATACCTTTAGAAGTTTAGTGGAGTCCATGCATCGATGGATCAGGGCTCTTTTGGTGGCGAGAAGAAAAAAAGAGACCCACTCCATACTAGGTGTGTGGTTATAATGTTATGGCTGATTAGTGTAAGGTCCATTACATCACTGCATCCCGAACTTATGCTTACATGAAACTGTGGGCAGGGGATATCCTGCCCACAGTTGATTGAGTGGCACAGAAGGAGCTTCCTTCCATGTTGGAGAGGAGCTCCTTCTGTGTTCAAAAAGAACTCCTTCCTGGATCAGAGGAGTTCAGGTTCATACCGAGTTCAGTCTGATTGTGAGCTCATTCCTACTGGTGACCATTGTCACAGAGAATAAAAATAATGCTGGAAGAAATCAAATTCATGCAAAAAAATCTTATCAGAACATTCAAAAAGGCCATCGCAGACTTGATGAACGCAGTTCAAAATTTCAGTTGATTTTAACTTAACAGGCACTTCCTCTTATGGGGTAACAACACTTTGTTCCTGTCTTCAAAATGTGTGTTGTCAAGTGAGCTTCTGGTAGGGACTACAAGTAGCTGTCCACTGTTGTCACCATCAGGAAACCTGCTGGATTGTATGTATGAGATCAGCAGCACTGAGATGCATTAAAGGGTAAAAAAGTTGAAAACAAGTATTTTATTTTTAAAAAGGCAATCATAAAAAACCCAACTCCAGCTTGAGCAAAGATTGAAATGTTAATACCTGGTACGAGTACCAGCTGCAATACTCATCTCTCTGGTGCTGTCCCCTGCAGGTGAACCAGTTCAGGCATTCAGCTCCAATCTGCTTCTTAATAACTGCTCTCTGCAGCACTCTGGAACCATCCACCAACGGAGGAAGAAGAGGGCGGAGAGGACCTGTCATGTCACCAGACCAGACCAAAGATCATTGCAAAAAAAGTAAGTAGAAAGATTCTTATTTTAAAGGCTGCATGGCTGCTCTGTGTTAAAATGGGGGGGTGCATTAGCAACCTAAACAATCTATTGGATTGTTATCCAATTTAGCACTCCCAAACACTTCTGTATTGTTGGAAAATCGAAAGGAGAGAAAAGTTATTGCCTATCATAGCCTTAATGTCTTATGCTACCAGAAACATACTAGATGCCCCTTAAAATACCCAGATAGCCACAGCATTATTGATAAAGAGGACCAAGTCAAGGTATCACTGCCATGTGAAGTACAAAGTGTTTAGTGCACTCTTTACTCCAACAAAGCCTCCATAATGCCCAGGAGTTGATTATTAGGTACTTGTAACCGTGTTACTTGTCAATGTAGAACTGTGAGTTGTTTTTTGTCAAAATAGCTTTATTTGATTTTGAAAGCAATAAACAGAACGTTTCGGAAACATAGATTCCCGTATGCGGGGGAAAAGGGACGGAAGTCCCGTTAGACATAGTTAGGTCATACAAAGTATCGTGAGGTATACAAAGTGCACATGAAATGCTCACATAATAAACAAAACAAACTGAAAAAATAAAATAGAATAAAATTATTTCCAGTACAACATTGGTGGGGTAGACATCAGTAAACTTGGTATTCTGCAGAGGGAACATACCACGTGGTCCAGGGTAGCCAAATTTTATCGAATGTAAGTACAGTAGATTGGCGGTGTGCCAATATCCGCTCATACCCATAATGCATATGGACTAGTTTTAGCACCTCACCTAGAACTGTGAGTTTTGATGTGGAAGGATAACGTATAACATCCTGATACAGAGTTTCATTTAAAAAAATTAGGGTCAGCAGTTAAAAGGATTAGATTGCATTTTAGGAGTATGAATAGGTGTAATATTTAAATTAAGGTTAGATTAAAGGTAAAGTGTTTGGGGGGGGGGGGGGGGATTTAAAAATTATGAAAATCGAATGATCAGTCTACTAATACCATAAAAAGGTCCTGAAACATAACAATTCTTTGATTATTCTTCAGATTGCCAGTGACCCCATGGAAAAAGCCAACCAGGAAAACCAAACTTTCGTATCTTTTTTTTGGGTTGTTGGCTTATCTGAAGATAAAGAACCTCAAGTTCTCCTGTTTCTGGTCTTCCTCTTCATCTATCTCATCACTGTCACTGGTAACTTACTCATTCTTTCTGTCATCTCTTCCAGCCAGCAACTGCACACACCAATGTATTTCTTCCTAGCCAACCTGTCCATCATTGACATCATCTTTTCTTCTGTTACCGTTCCCAAACTTCTCTTTATTTTAGCCACTGCCCAGAAGTCTGTCTCTTTCTCTGACTGCATCACACAGCTCTCCTTCTTCCAGTTCTTTGTGGTGGCTGAATGTTATCTTCTAGCGGTCATGGCTTATGACCGGTATGTGGCTATCTGCTTTCCTCTCAACTACATGCTTATCATAAGCAAGGAGGTCCGCTTCTGGATGGTCATTGCCTGCTGGGCCTGTGGCCTCGTCAACTCGTTGATCCAAGCCATCTCCATCTTACACCTTGACTTCTGTGGTCCCAATAAAGTGGATCACTTCTTCTGTGACGTTACTCCCCTCTTCAAGCTGTCCTGCTCTGACACGAGGCTCGGAGAGGCTGTATTTCTAATAGTGGTGGTTTTAGCGGGCATGGGGCCATTGACTTTTATTCTAGTGACCTACGGTCGGATCATCGCAGCGGTTTCAAAAATTAGTTCCAGTAAAGGACGTTTTAAAACCTTCTCTACTTGCGCCTCTCACTTCACAGTGGTGGCACTCTATTACGGTAGTGGCATCTTCAGCTACATCTGGCCATCCTCCACTTACGCCATGGACAAGGATGTCAAAGTGGTGGCCGTACTGTATACAATTATGACTCCTATGTTGAACCCTATTATTTATTGCTTGAGGAACAGGGAGGTAAAACAGGCCCTGAAGAAGGCTTTAGGTAGCAAGAGAATAAGATAACGCGTTGTCTTTCACAAGCTTAACCATAAAGCAGGGAAAGGAGCAATGACATTTTAATTTTATTCAATCCAATTCTATGGAGGGTAAAATCTTCTTTTTTTTTTGCACTGTAGTACTGATCCTGCAAATAACACACTTCCTGTCACTGGGTGGCTACACTCACTCCTCCAATGTCTCTATGGATGGAGCCTTGGTTGCTGAACATGTCTGCCTTTCCAATACATGGGAGCTGACGGAACTGGTAGTTTGTAGAAGAACGATAATATTGTTTCTGCTTTTGGTTCTGCTTACAGGTTATGACAAAGACACAGAATGTCTGGCAAGTTCAGAGATCATTTTCTGTACTTGCTGAAAATATTTTAGCCAAAAAATAGAAAACAAATGCAGCCAGAACATCTATGGACTTGGAAGCTTCAATATATTACATTTTGTTCTTGGGTTTAGTTATCATTTAAAGTATTTCTAAAACCAAAACTTCCATTTCATGGTGTGGGTGTTTTAATTAACTATTTAGTGACAGATCCCTGGCCACTGTTTTTGTTTGTAAAGCCGCGTGTGAATCGTGTACATCATACTGCTTCACCACTTCACATGCAGGTTTAGGGCACCCCCAAATATTTTACATTAAGGATTTGGGTATTTTTTCTTTTAACCTCCCTGGCGGTCTGATTATTCAGGATTTTAGCATCCAAAAAAAAATGCAGGCTTTTAGTTTCATTTTCGGACCACGTACAGCAGAGGACGCCGCGGGCTCGGTAAGTGTCACTTTTCTCTGCAGCCCCGAGTCTGGCTCGGGGTTAATGATCCTAGCATTTAAAATTAACCCCGAGCCAGACTCGGAAAAGCCGCCAGGGAGGTTAAGCTGCACTAAAAGGCTCTCTCCCTAATGAATGGTATTTTTTAAAATTTCATTGGTGCATGTCCCCCATGGCAGCGCCCAGCTACCCATACTCCTTTTTTTTTTTTTTTAAATCAAACTTGCAAACTGTTAAAAAATAACAAGTGTGGCCTCCCATTGAGTTCGGTGGATTTCAGCGCTACGCTCAGGTTTAGTGGGTTTCTTCCTAGGTTCTCTGATCGTCTTGTGAACCGAACTTTGATTTCCCAATGGTGTCAACAATGGACTATGCCTTTGCTATGTGTGGTGGCATGGCCACTTGCAGTTTCCATTAAAGTGACAGGGTTACAATGCAGGAGACAAACTGGGAGACAGCAATAGAGCTTCTTCACCCTATAACAGGTAGTTCATGCACAAGGACCTTCATGGCAGGATTACCAGGTATTATTTTAATGCAAGCTACAGATTTAAAAATATTGCAATTGACTTTTGAAACTACGGTATTATATTAAGGCTTATATAAAATATTAGAGATTGAGTTAAAATACATTTTATGGTGTTGATTTATAAATGTTCTGCCCAGCATGTAGCTAGGTGGATGACATTCGCACAGCATTAGCACCTCCTAAATGACGCTGAGGAGCATAGGCATTTCCTATGCGAATGGAAGTGTATAGAGGGGCAGAACATTTATAAATCAGCCCTTAAGTGTACTTTGTTTTTGAAAAACAACTTTCTTGCTGCATTTTTATTGCAGTCCCCAGCAAGTGCACCTGATGGTACCACATGCAAACAGATGAAACACATAACTGCATCAAATAAAACACAGAGGTGTGAATGAGCCTTATGGTTTTGTGTGACCTTCAGAGAGATCTCTGCTTTTAATAGGAATTACTCAAGATGATAATATAGCCGACTTCTTTTCAAGGTGCAGATTTCAGAGATAAACATTCACCTGGTGCCCAACTTAAAGCCCAAGGACCATATGCAGAATTTTGGTACTTGTTGTGCAGCCTTTGGACCACAGCAGTCTGTAGCTGGAGTGGGAGTATTGATTTGTTAAGGTGTAGTAACAGTGATCTTTACTAGCCTCATGTTTCATGTCCCCAATCCCTCACCATCTTCTACGATATTTCTCCAAGCAGACCTATAGTTTCCTCTAGTATGTCTGCAGCCTGTCACAATCCTTCCTAGCATCATATATACTGAACATTATGTGCAGCCCTTTAATGATGGCAAGGACCACAGGTGAGGTCCCCTATACCTCATAAGTTGACAACCACTGGTCTATGGCAGTATTTTTAAACCGTTTTTCAGTCACAGCACCCTTTAAAAGGATGCAAAAACGTAAGGCATCCAAGTCTAAAATGTAAAAGTTGTAACTGTAAGACATGTGGTCCCTACAAAATCCATACCAGACCCTTTCATGAAGTGGGGGCCCCATGCAAAAACACACAAAGTCCCCCTTCACATTAGAAGCCCTTACTTTCAAATCAGTCAACCCCTACTACACTAAGAGCCCTTCTTTAACATCTGAGTGCCCCTCTTTCACATCACGAGTTCCCTCTTTCACATCCATGGTATTGGTGGCCCTCTTGCATCATGGAAAGGCATGATGCTGTGTGAAAATTTTGAGGCACATCTGAGTTTTCCAGAAGGTACCCTAGGGTGCCACGGGACCCTGGTTGAGAAAGGCTGGTCTAGGGATTCACTGAACTGAAGCAAGTACACGTATCACATTATTTTTTTTAATAATATTCTATTATTGAGAATGCAACAGGAAGAGCAATCCTATTTTATTACTTTTGACTCTTTTTTTTGCCTGTAAATGCCTTAAAGATGATCACCGGGAATTTCGAAAAAAAACTACCATTGCAGTGGTGCCTCCCCCACCCCCGAACTGCAATTGTTAAATGCTTGTTTTTGTCTAGGGGTAGAGGAATAAGGTGTAATACTTATCTAATCCCTTGCTCCGGAAGGCTCCGGCACGCTCCTCTTCTCCCGTACGCTCCAGGTTGTGTGTGGTCTCTCGCCATCCTCACATACGATGCAGGCCTATTAACCCTTCAGTGTGCGACCGCCAGCTGGACTGTCTTAGAACAGGGGCTTCAGAGACCAGTCGCACGGATGGAGGGAGCCTGTCTGAGTGGGGAATAAGGTATTTCACCTTATGCCTCTACCCCTCGTCAAAATGAACATTTAAACCTTGCAGTGCAGGGAAGCCTCATTTCAAGGGTAGTTTTCATTCCCAAGAGTTCAGCTTTACATTGGATCTATACTCAAAACTATCATGTGAAGAATATCAACTCTTTTAGATTTAAAGCTCAAATGTCTCCCATCCTTAGGTAAGAGGATAAGCTAAGTTGCTGTGAAAATAATTTGGACAATTTAAACTGTATTTCGAGTTTTGCAGTTAAAAAAATTGGAAAACCCCTCTATATGATAGTTATGTGTTCCTATACACTCAGCATACTGAAAAATAACTTTAAAAAAAATGTCGTACCTTTTTAGATGTTTTGTTAAAGCAGGCAAGATGGCTGATTCCATGTTTTTCTGAGCCCTGTCACAGTGATCTGTCCCAAGGGAATGTCTTGGGACTGAAATTTGAGGACTGTGTTTATCTGATAAGCTTCATTAATGTACAATGGACAAGCCACCTTAGACCCCCTCACTACTCAGAGCCCCTCCTAACATTTCAAAGACATAGAAGCAAGAAGAAATGTTAACCCATAAAACCCTAACCCAAGTAAAAGCTATTTAAACTGCAAGAAGCATATATATATATATCTATAGATATATATACATTTTTTTACTGTATGCTATGTGAATGGGAACATGTAGCAAATATAAAATGCAGGTAGGTGTTACCCCAATTTGGCTCCAAAAGTGGAAATACACTTTTAAGTGCTCTTAAGTTGGTGGGCTGATGTAACTTTTTAGATTTTCTGGCATCTCTGTCAGTGATGAGTTCTCAGCTCAGCCCACCTATTGTGCAGGCTGAATAGGGCTCTTGCCCAGTGCACATACCAGCTGTGTCTTTTTTTTAACAAAGAGTTTGTAAAAGTTTTTTTGTATTTCTACAATACAGCCTAAACAGCCCACCGGACAAGTTCATGCAGAGCATGAATGGTCCTAAGCGTGGTTGTATCAGGTGTCCTCACACTTTACTGGCTGTATGCTTGTCCTGGGTTAATGATTCACTAATCGAAAAAAGGAAAACAAGTCTTGCTCTTTCAAACACAAGTGAGCAATTTCATTCTTACTGTATATCCTGATTCCTGACCCTAAGGCTTCATTCACACATAGCTGTAGTATTTTCTGTGCGGTTTTTCGCAAGACAAACCGCACGGCATAAAAACACACAAACGCTAACATACGCAAAGATTTAACCCATAAAATCAGCCCAAAAAAAATCACGATTGGACTATTTTGCGGGATGCACGGTTTCATACGGTGCGGACGCCTCAATAGTCTGAACAATACACATTGAAATACAGTGGGGGGATTTATCAAAGCAATTGCGACAGTTTTAGCCTCTTAGATCATTTTTTTTTAGTGGCGAGCGTGAGGTGGGGAGGAGGTGCGGCGCACAGCGTGTGGAGCTGTGAACAGGGCCAACTGATCGGAAGCCGATTAATCGATTATTGAAAAAGTTGACAACTTTTTCAATAATCGATTATAATCGATTATGTCGATTAGTTGTTGCAGCACTAATATATTCCCCCCATTGTTTTTATGTTTAGCGTATTTCGGAGCATATTCATACGAGTGAATACACAAACCCCCCTTTCTTGCCTTTCTTCTGTCTATAGAAATCTCTCACTGAATGCCAGGTGATATAGGGAGTCTGCAAGGTACCCTATGTAGATGTGCCCTGATGAGTTAAGTGAGTGCTGAGGCCTTTAGTTGAGTAGACTCAACCGGACCTACCATAGGTGTCCAGTCTCCTCAACCAGATATGCTGCCACTACAACTGTTATTGGACCGCACTTCCAAATGAATAATAAAATATTAAAATGTGCCCTAGCAATAAAGTTGGGTCACTTGATTCAATTTTTCTTAGTTTATCCCCAGACAAGAGCTTTAGGGTACAGGTATTCCTCACTTAACAACCGAGTTCCGTTCCTGCGACCAGGTCGTTAAACGAATTGGTCGTTAAGTG